CCCCAAAACCCCAAAACCCCAAAACCCCAAAACCCCTATTAGGTGAAAATTATTGAATAATTTATTTATGAGGAGGGTAGTACTTTTTCCTTCTTGGAATCGTTCTATTAATAAAATGAAAATACTTACCTATACCGTCTGATATCAGGCCTTTCAACCATCTCTTTTGGATTAGTTTCAGCAATATACAGTTCATACAGCTCTAATAGCTTCCTGAGCTCTCCTATCTCTCTTCTAATATTAATATCAATCTTTCTATTCGCAAACACAAAAGTAGTTCCAAACATTTTATGATCCCTTTGGAAGTTCCTTATTCCACTCACAATATTCTGTGCATAAAAGCTCAGGGTCTCTCCTTTCCTCCTCAGCTCATCTCTCTCCTCCTCATCTGTCGAAGACTCCAGGTGATTTTCAATTTTATCAAAAACTTCTGCCATTAAAATCTCATGAGCTGCTATATCTCTCAGTATGATTTTCAGACTTTCTCTTGCTTCAAAACACATTTTTCAGCGGATCAAAATCTTAAAGCAGTTCTCTAGTGTGACTTGTGAGTAGTTGCTCTGGATCTTCTCATAGAGCTGGTCTAGCTCGAAAGCCTGCATGAGCATTTCCAGAGTGTTCTGACCCTTCTTGTAGAACGGAGTGAGCATCTCTGTTGACTTAAAATCTTTATACCTCTTCTTCATCATGTCGACGATGTAGTCTACTTCTTCATATTTGAAAAATCTATTTGAGTTTTCGGTGTTTAGCTCAGTGCAGTCATCCAGGACTGACTGGAAAAATTTTGTTTCTTCCCAATCGATTATTTTTACTTTGTGGTATTGGGAACCGACTTCTGAGAAATGGCTCATGCTGCTATTTAAAGCTAGGCTGAATATTGACATTGAAAATTCCAGTGGTCTCGTTAGCAGAAGGGGATCCTGGGCTGGGGTTTTGAGGTTCATCGATTTGGATGTATGAAGTATCGGGAGGAGATAAATTATCAGTATAGTGTTTTATCTGGCTAGTGCTGTTTTTCTGTATTAGAGATTGTTTAGGAGAGTTCCTGCTGAGAGAAGAGATCTCATCCTTTGATTTTTGTATTGAATCATCAATCTGACTCTCTTGAGCTTTATTTGAATCCGAGAGAAATTTTGCTCTTTTTCTTTTTATGAATTCTTAGATTTTTAGTACGACCAACACTTCTAACTTCAGAAGGACTCTTGCTGCGGGAGCCTAGGTTTCTTTTGTTTGGAGCGGAGATGGTCATATCTTTGATGTTGTTCCTGTTCCTGGGACGAACATCTTCACGAGTTTTGACCCTCTTTCGTAAAGCATGTAGATTAGAAGCAGATGGATTAGTAGTCGAAATCATTGTGCTTCCTCTAACTCCTTTGGAAGATCACTTTAGCTTCTTTGCCTTTAGAAGAAACTCCTTTTGGACAGAATCCTTTGTTTGATTTCGTAGAGTTAGAACTGGCTGGGAAAGGTCCATGAGAGCGTTTGGAGAGTTGGCTTCTATCCTTTCACTAAAGGTCAGGATGAACTTACTTTAAATCCTCATTTATCCTATCTGGGTGATTAGAATTATAATCAGGTGACTTTATCATATTAGTAGAAGTAAATGAACTATCAATCCCTCCAAAATTTCTGAAAGGCACTTGTACAAAGTTGTTTGGATTATTAGAATTCCAGACAGTTGGCATCGACTGGTCATTAATATTTTGCAAATCAGGATTTTTGTAATACTTTTCATCAATTTTTTGTCTCAGCTTTCTAGGATTCTTCATCGACATTGGTCTTATTCTTCCAACTTTGAGATCTTTTATGACAGGAACATTGTTGCTACTGTAAACTGAATCAACTTTGGAGAGAGCACTAGCTCCCATGAAGTATTGAGGAATGTTTATCCCAGGCAATTGGTCTCCAAGCTTTTGGTAGTTAGACAATCTCTTAGAGATAAATGAAAGTGAGTCATTCCTAACTTTCGAGTTTGGAGCACTGCTTTTGTTCATTACACTTCTATTCTCAGAGTAAAATGTTTCATCGATTCCTGTTCCTTTTCTGGAAATTGGTTGATTCTTGGATGATGCCAATATTTGAGACTTGTTGATAATTGGGGGCTCTGCTTTGTCTAGCTTGTTTTCTAGAGAAATATTAGATTAGTGCATACTTTTGTTCAGTCTCTTCTTTCGAGAAGCGCTTTTAATTCTCAAAGATCTTTTGACGCCATCAAGATCTTTGTTCATTCTGATACTCTGCTTTTGAAGATCTTCGACTCCTTGTTCATCAACAGCGATGGTAGTTGGGACAAGTTTGAGTAAAATATTAGGATTCGCTCTCAAGAATTTCATAACTTTATTCCACTTTTCTTCTTCAAGCAGTCAATGAGGCTTTCTTGGGACTGAACTAGTTGTCATAAAGCTATGATCACTGGGTTCAGACTGTGCATCGAGGTCACTTTTCTCAAAAAATTTCACAAAATCAAAATTATACATTTTCTCTTCATCCATTTCTTGTTTATTTAATACCTATAAATTTCTTAAATTTGATCTACCTTGTTCTTTGCGTCTTTCAATTTTGTTCTGGGAATCCTTAATAATTCCATCAACTTTGTCAATGATTCTGAAGGCTCTGTCTATATCTATGAGTCCTTCTTTGAGGCCAGTCCCTCTTCTAAACAAGAAGTTGACTCCAATATCGTCAATAATGTTCTGTTCAAGCATCTTGGCAACTCTTTGTTCATTCTTTTGTTGCTTCATTTCAAGCATTTTACGCTTGTTTTCAAGCCTTTTCTTCCTTTTGGCCCGAAGCCCAAAGTATTCCTCGATCTTTTTGGTCAGAGGGTCTTCAGTCGTCGGCGCTTGGCTGGAAAACCTGTCCAAGGATGCTTGAGGTGGCTTTCTAGGGAGGAATGGATTGTGCTTCGCACCTGAGAAGTACCTCTGGTCCTCATCTGTTAGTTTCAAATCCTTCTTTTTAGAGAGCGGAATTTGGCTCATGTTTTCAAAGTCAAGCAGAGTCGTATCAATTCCTTCTCCTAAGGGAATCTGATCAATTTCTTTCTTTTTGGACTTAAGACTCTTTTCAAGCCTAGCTGATGCTTTAGATTTTGACTTATTTTGATTTAAGGCCTTTCTTCTTATTTCGGGAATTTTTGGAATTTGAAAGTTTTTCTATGGGATTAGAAAGGGTTTACTGGCTTCTTTGAATTCAGGGTTATCATTTGTCTCGAAATTTATAATTTCAGGCTCATTGGAGATTAAGGTACCCGCTCCTTGCTCGTCATGAGGAGCTTCATTGAGTGAAGGTTCATTCATTTCATTTCTAAATGTCACTTGAAGGGAAGACTTCAATGCAGATTTTAGAGGAGGATCTTTCCGTTCAGAATCAGCTACTTTTGAGTGTTTGTCTTCTTCTTTTTGAGCAGTTTTATCCTCCTCTGCAACTTGCTTTTTCTCTGATGGAGAGAGGTTTATATCAACGTTTTCTATAATGTCAGGTCTTGGCTGATAAACAGGAGGACTAATTTGAAATTGATCTTGCTTATCTTCCTCCTTTTCACAGCTTTGCTCATGATTTCCGACTAGTTCTCCAGCAAATTGACTGGTCTCTTCATGATTTTGGTGGTTCTCTTCTTGAATAGGATCATCTTCTTCGTTAGTAGATTTGAAGATGTTTTTGTGAACAACTTTGAGATCATCAATATTATCACCAGTTTTAGGGAGTTCTCTAAGCTTTTCCTCTTTCTGATTTTTGAGTGAGGCATTTAGCTTGGATTTTATTGAGACTGAAACTTGATGTTTCACTGGACCAGAATCTCTTGCGGAGAGCTTCTTTAACGCATTCTTTGCTTGAGGAGAAATGGAGTTTAGAATCGGCTCTATTGTCTTTGATACAGCACCGATGTTGGGAGAATTATTAATAGATTTTATGAAGTCCTCCCTCTTATGATCAATGTGCTCTAGCACTCTGTCAATACTTTGATATCGTTTTTCTTCTCTAAAATATTCCTTTGGAATTCTTCCAAGGATGGATTCCATGCTATTCTCTTCTTGCATTCCCTTGTTAATTTTCTCAATGAAGTCTGTTTGTTCATGCTCTTCTTGGTCTCCCTTTTCAGGACTGAAGAGGTCAAAATCGTCTATTTCGATAACCTGGTCCCTGATCTTAGGACTCTTTATGTTAACAATGCCTGTATCTTCCTTCTTCACTTCCTCATTCCTCCCTTCGGGAGCTTTGTGCATGAACACAGGCTGAAAGCCATTATTAAGCATGAGGCTTGGGTTGGCTGGAGGATTATTAATATTTTTGAGTAATTTCACATGAGAATCATTTGAATCTAGATAAATAATCCTTTAAAGCTTACCATCTGAGTCTTCAGGGGCTCCAATCTTAGTGAACAAATAGTTGGGTCCTTCTCTAGCAAGATCCTTAGGAGAATCGACAATTTCCTGCTCATCCAGGCTAAAATTTAGCATTTTGGTTCTAATCTGGTTCCGAATCTGTACTTTGTTCTCTTCTTCAGTGATTTCTTGGTTTTGGCTCCCATTTGAATCGCGGTCTAGAGAAAGAGTGCTTTAAGTAAGGAGTTTTAAATTTTGGAAATTTTCAAAATCTTGGAATTTGTTATTAGCTTATATGTGCTTGATGTCCAGGAATGGTTAATTTGAGAGAAATTTTAAGAGTGAGGGAAACTACCCTCAATGGTCTTTAGAGTTCATAAGCAAGTTTTAGCACAGAAAGAAGCTGTATATGAAGAACTGTTAAGACTCTTGGGATTATTTTGTTAAAACAGACCTCGACTAAGTCGAGGATTTATAGGTCACTTTTAGGAACGAATAAACTACTTGAATATATCCCAAAATAGGTTTATATAGGGTCCAGACATTCGTGAGCTAAATTTGTAAGGTACCTTGCTTCTCTTCTTCAGGTTTTCCTGGATGTGGAGCATTTGATTGATCCATATATTTTAATTCAAATTTTAATTTATATTAAGGGGTTTTGGGGTTTTGGGGTTTTGGGGTTTTGGGGTTTTGGGG